TGTGTGTGTGTGTGTGTGTGTGTGTGTGTGTGTGTGTGTGTGTGTGTTCAGATTGATGTTGGTGTTTTCCTCAGTTCCTGTGCAGGTAATACATTAAGATAAGACCTCACCAGTTTGATAATGAACTTGCCAAATTGTTCCAGGGAACTCATGCCTGTGTAAGTTAACTTTTGTTGTCAGTCATTTTCTTTATACATCATTCTTTGACTTAAGTCCTTTCATTCTAAATTAACTATACACAGTCTTTTGATTTTAATTTATCTCCCTTTAAGAACATCAGCCAGTTGTGATGGCTCACGCCTTTAATCCCAGCACTCAGGCAGAGGCAGAGGCAGCTGTATCTCTGTGAGTTCCAGGACAGCCTGGTCTACAGAGCAAGTTCCAGGACAGCCAGGGCTGTTAACACAGGGAAACCCTGCCTGGGGGGAAGGGGAGTTACAGTGTTCATATTATGTGCTTTGATGTTTTTCTTTTGACAAACTTTAGAGAATGTAAGATGGAGATTGAAGACAAAAAACAAGAACTCATTGAAATGGATCAGGCGCTTAAGGAGAGAAATTGGGAGCTAAAGCAAAGAGCAGCTCAGGTTAATTTTTCCTAATTATATTTTAAATAAAAATATCTACCATGGGATAATCATGGAGGGTCTTAAAAGTTGCCATTTTTTATGAATATAAATTTTTTTAAAGTTGAAATACATCTAATATTTATTTATTGCAAGCTTACTTTTTGACCAGATTGGCCATGAGTTTATAATCCTCTTGTTCAGATTCCCAAATGCTGGGAATACAGATGCCTGGCTGAAAGACTTGTATGTCTTCCTGGGAACTGATATTGTATATCAAAAGAATATGGGATTGAACACATTACTATGAGCTAAATGTTGAAGGAACGGGTCATTAATTAGCAGTGATTATTCCAATATAAACTGACACATGAATCTTTTTATCTTATTTTGCATCTTAAGTTTCTATAACATATAGTACTTATGGGATTCAAGTCCCTACTTGAAAAAATACTTTGTCATTAATGCCTGTTACAAAAGTATAATCCAACCACACAAGTGTTTGCATTATAATAAAATTGAGCAACCAGCTTTATATTACTTTTGTGTTTAGGTTACACATTTGGATATGACCATTCGTGAGCACAGAGGAGAAATGGAACAAAAAATAATAAAATTAGAGGGTACTCTGGAGAAATCAGAATTAGAACTTAAAGAATGCAACAAACAGGTAATTATTTTAAATTTTCAAAATTTATAATAAAAATTAACACCACGACTGTGTACACCACTACACAATGTTTTTGTTGTTTGTGGTGATCCATGTTGCTGTGCTGCCTTGAGCTCCTGTGTCAACCACACAAGCTGTTGCATTTGCTTCGCTGTGCATGGCTGTGGTTATAGAGTGCACATGGGGAAACAGTATTCATCTTGTATATTCTACTTAACACTCATTTTCTCCTCAATGTTATTTTGATTGTAATTTCTTGTATCAGTGTGTCTAATATACTTATTACAATATGTACATGTTTGAATAGCTATAAAATATTTCTGGGAGGATTTACAAGTAATTCTAGTTGTCTGAAGAATAGAGTGGGAAGGAAACTTTGTGTTCTCTATATATTCATCTTACATATATTTTACCTTTAAAATTATAAAGCTGTGTTACATTTGTTCATTGTACTTGTATAAGTAGTAACTGAAGCATTTGCAGATGGTGGGAAGTATCAGAGATGCATTCATAAAATAATAGGCCAAGCAATGCTAATATAGAAGAGAAAGGTGTTCATAGCCATAGTACAAGCCCAGTAAATCTTAAATGCAGTTGGAGTATTTGGCTCCTCGTGTATGACAAGTTGACACTGGAAAAGAAATAGGACTGTATCTAGGTGCCCTCTGTAGAGGAGGACATCTGAAAACAAGGAACGATGATAAGCCAGCGAACTTTGTGGCCACAGTCTCTGGGCAGGAAACAGCTGCATTAGGCAATATGAACAGGAAGAGGATAAGACATGGACATGCTGAGATGCTTAGGTGGTGGGAGGGTTAGACTCTGAGTGCAGTGCTCTTGTCCTGCTCTTTGGTGAGGGGCAGACTCCAGCACCTAGGGCAACTGAAGGGAGTGATAGCTCCAAGCCAGCAATTGGCATGTAGTTCTAACTCCAGGGGTTGTGTGTTTGCTATGTGGTTTTCTCCTAGCAGAATTGTAAATTGAAGTTCAGGTCCAGAGGAAGCACTCAGTTTCCAGAGACTCCTTCCTCTGTGGAGTATTTAATGTCGATCAGGGTTTAAAACTTGGATAGACTAGTCAGATGCAGGGAGTACAAACAGGGAAGTGTTTGGACTTGGAGTCTGTACACCTGCCTGGTCAACAAGCTACAAAACTAAGTGTATCTAGAAGTGGCGCTGGTGTACAAGGAAAGTAACTGAAGCCTTATTGTACAGCTGACTCTTCACTGGTCCCATCAGCTTGAAAAGAACAAAAGATAAGAGAGTTAAACTTGAGCTCAGTACTTGCCTGCCTGGTGGACTTCCGTACTAGAGGACCCACAAAGAAGCTACTCTAGAACTTCGTCGTTTTATTAAAAATGCTGTTCTATACTCCCCCTTTGCACCTGTGATTTCCCTTCTCTTTATCATACTTTTCACATTGTTTATCTAGTTGTAAAAGAGAGCTTATACAGTGTTTACATTTATCTTCTGATCTAATTTTGTTCACACATTTTGCTGCATGATTATAATTTTTATCCCTTGCTCTTCTCATTCCATACTTCTAATATTTTTTTTAATGTAGCGTCTTTTCTTTTTTCCCTTTCCCTGCCCCCTTCCTTTATTTAATTAAATTATTATTACTATCTTTACTCAAACTTTTAACTTCATAGCTTCTTCTACATGCTTTTGCCTTTTGCTCTGATTGTTTTGTTTTGGCTTCATGGCCATCAGTAGGAAAAAATGGATGGAAATGGAAATAATTATGTAAACAGAAATAAGCCACAGACAGAAAAGCAAGTATTGTCAGAATTACGTAGTGAGCTGGGAGGGGAAGCCCCTGCCCCTGGCTTGGAAAGTTCAGGGTAGAGGGTGACATATGCCAGCCATGCCCTGTAACAGGTGGGGACTGAGGGATGCTGGGAGAACTGGAGGCCAGGTCTGCTGTGGTTAAAAAGGCCCCTCAGTTGCCTGTCCTGGGTCTGAAGCCCAATAACATCTTCCAGTTTGGCTTTGAATTCATTATCCTCCTACCCTGACCTCCAATGCTGGGTATGTACCTCTATTTTTTTTTTTTTGCCTACTTTTAGATGTTTTAGACATAAATGTTTAAAGTTTAATTTAGAACACAACTGTGAGTTAATTATATTTTCTTAGTTGTGTTAATAATGATCATTTGTTTGAAATTCAGATAGAAAGTCTAAATGAAAAGTTGCAGAATGCCAAAGAACAGCTTCGAGAAAAGGAGTTTATAATGCTCCAAAATGAACAGGAGATAAGTCAACTGAAAAAGGAAACTGAAAGAACACAACAGAGAATGAAAGAAATGGAAAGTGTAAGTTCTTTCCCACATAAATGAAAAGTAATGAAATGAATATGCTTTAAACTCCTTGGACTTAAAATACAGAAACTGTGCTCTAAGTTTTTAAAAACTAATTATTTGTGTCAAATGTTATTAGTTCTTTTGACCTTTAAAAATATCTTGTTATGCTGGCTTTGATATGGACAAGGACACTGGCTTATGTACCTTGTATTCCCTAAATTTGTCATGTTGTATTTTACATAATAAATCCACAGTATATGCATTTGTATCAATAAATATTCAATATAAATATACTGCGTTGTAGAGTTGAAGATATAAGTATAACAGATTACAGGAACTTGAGGAATTTCACTCCGAACCTGACAAATGATACCTGAGTGTTATTTCAGCCGTTGTACTGTATTACTAGAGGAATAGAGTAACTTGATGACTGGGTATCAGTTTCATTGTATTGACTGTTGAATCTATTCAACAACCTGGTCTTTTTGAAAAATGAATTTGTTTCTGTCAGCTCTGATGGATAGAACTTTCTCATTGACAAACACTCAATTGTTGTAATTTCAGCAATAACCATTGTATTTGATTGATTATGTCTCTTCCTATAGAATATAAACCGTGTTAGGGAATGCACTTTGTCTCTTTCATTCCTATTCCTGACCACCCAGAGCTGTGTATTATCATATAGTAAGCGCAAGTTATTATTTATTGAGTTAATTATAAACGTAAATCAAGCAAAGTCTCTAAGAGCAATTTGGAAAACAGTGAGATGAAAATGATTAATAACCCTGTCATTTTGGGTCCCTACAGTGAATGACTAAAAGTATTTGCATAGGTAGCTATTCTCATTTATATCCTGGGCCTCCATGCCCAATACCAGGACCCCAGTAGTTAATATTGGCTTTTTTCCCCCTTTTCTTCCTTGAGGTCAGTGCCACTATGTCTAAGCTGCATTGCTGCGCTGAATTAGAATTGGCTTTGCATTGTTTTTTTTTTTTTTTTTTTTCTTTTCCCTAAGAAGCAGGACAAGTTGAGTTTCCTTTATCCAAAAGATTTTTAGCTAGTATTTTGAGTTTCATTGGAGTTTGGAGTATTTATGTATTTAAAATTACTCAAATCTGAATGCATTCATGTTTCATATTTATAGGAAGATAGATAATTTATAGACTACTTTAATAAGTTTGTTTATCTAGCAGTTTTACAGTGTGGAATTTTCACCTTTGTTAATGCTCACAATGTTGTCTTTCGGTTTTTTATTTTTATTTTTTTAGTATTCTAGTTTATGAGTTTTCAGATAAAAATGCTTAACCTGTCCTTATTATGAGTTTAAATGACTAATTTAATAATATTTAAGAGGAAATAGTAGCTTCAGTGACGTTTTACCTTCAGAGAGAACTAACAACCCAGCTGTGTAGCTTAAATGGTGAATTTTAATTCTATACTTCATGCCAGTAAATATGTATTTATTTAAGGAGTGTGCGCTCGTGTTTGTAGGCCTGAAAACAAGCTTGGCTGCTATTTCTTAAGAGGTCATTTCTCAGGAGCCATCCACTTGTTATTATTTTTGTTTGTTTGGGGGGTTTTGTTTTGTTTTTTGAGACAAAGGTCTTATGTAGTTTTGAACTTCCTGTGTGGTAGGTGATAACCTTAAACTCTCTTCCTGTCTCCTCCTGCTTCCCCCAAATCCTGGGGTTATATTGTGTGCTACCATACTTGGTTTAATGTGGTGCAGAGAAGAGAACCCAGGGTTTGGGTGTTAATCAATACTGTGCCAAATGAGCTGTATACTCACCGCCTCTCACCTTGTTTTGTGAGGCAGGGTCTTAGTATGTAGCCCTGTTTGCTTGGATAATCAAATGTTAGGGTTTGGGGGTTTTTGTCTGTTTTTCTGGCCATAGCATTTGATATTGTTTCATAAATTTTATATTTATGAATATTATTATTATTCTATACCTTATGAAAAAGGTTATATAACTATGTACATATAGTAATGCAGAATATTTTAGTACAAGTTTTAAGCTGGGAGTGGTAGCATATATCTCTAATTTCAGCATTCTGCAGGCTCAGGAAGAAGGATCTCAAGTTGAAGGTTAGCCTGTCTGGGTTAACCCGTTAACAATGAGTTAACGGGTTAGCCCGTTAACTCATTGTCTTTCAAGGCCAAGCTGTACAAGATTCCCCAACTAAGATAGATAAGTAAATAAGTTCCTTAGTGGAGGTACATGCTTGTTATTCTAGAAACTCAGAACAATGAGACAGGAAGACCACAAGTTTGAGATGAGTCTGGGCAAAAAATACAGTTTTTGAAAGGGGTTGGAGGTGTGTGGCAGAGCACTTGCTTTGCATGTTGAGACTCTAGGCTTAAGCCCTAGACTGAAGGAGGTCTCAGTTTATTACAGTTTTGTCATTTTACTATGATTAAGGCTTTTAAACATATTAGCTTATAGTGGGAGATGGTCATTTGTAAGTTTTATAAGCACATAATTGTAGGGAAATTCTCTTATGAAAACAAAGAAATAAATCATAAGTGTATATTATATAACTACATATTTTATTTTGAAAGCTACAAATGTCTTATACTTTTCAGGTTATGAAAGAACAGGAAGAGTACATTGCTACCCAGTACAAGGAAGGCATTGATTTGGGGCAAGAGTTGAGGCTAGCCCAAGAGCGAACACAGAAATCTCATTCAGAACTGGTAGAGGCTCGTCGCCAAGAAGTTCAAGCACAGAGGGAGATAGAAAGGCTCTCTAGTGAACTGGAGGATATAAAGCAACTCTCTAAAGAAAAGGTAATCCTAGTCTAAATAATTTTATGTTACTGAAGAATTTCTAATTTTTAACTCCTTTTTAAAAGAAGGTAGGGAGTAATGCTCTTCACTAACCCACCTGTGCTTAGCCTTTTTATTTTGTACTGTGTTGCACTACAACATGAATGTTTTTAATGTTACCAAATTGTCCACTTAAAAATGGTTAAAAAGAATAGGACCAGGTGCGGTAGTTCACATTTGTAATTCCAGCACTTACTTAGCTGAAGTAGGGGAATCTACCTGGAGGCTAACTGGGCTACGCCGTGGATGTTAGTTAAAAGCGCTCACTTTTATGTTAGATACATGTTGCTACAGTTCCATAATGAAAAATTTAAGTGTATTGTAGGTAGGTTTCTTTGTAATATAACATTTTATAATAAAAATCCTTCAAGAATGAACTCTAGCCACTCTAGGTCTCAATAAGTTGAGTTATTTAGCACTTTTAGAGGCTCAAGTGTTTGAGCCATTTTCTAAATAAAGCTGTCAGAATTTTTAACTTTTATAAAAACTTGAGTTCAGATGGTTTGTGATGGAAACATTATCGAAAATCAAGAGAACTAATAAAAATTTTATTTTCTCAGAAGTTAGAAAGTCATTTGAAGATAATTTAGATTGACATACTTGGGTTAATTACTTAGACCTTGAGAAAAATGTTGAGTTTTATTTTGGAGATTCATGTAATTTTTCTACTTTCTCTTCACGTGCTCACTCATCATAGGAATACAGTTAAAACATTTTTACCTTTAGTTTTCATTAGGCTGTGTTTTTATTCATATTGCTGGATCATTAGAACAATTAAGATTATATAGAAAAATGTATTAGCAATATAACATATTTGGGTGTTTACTTAAAAAGGGGAAGGCATCTACTTTTTCTCATTTATGTTTTTTGTTGGTTATGTCTGAGTTTAATGTAATTGGTTTTATCTGATAAGATAAAATCACTTAATCTCAAAGTGAGTTTAAATAGAAAAGTACTTAAAATGCAAGTTTTAAAGTATTATGTTTTAATCCCAAACTAATTATAGATTCATGTCTATCTTTTGGTTTGGGTCAAACCTTGCTTCTTTTTATGGATAATCTGATTAGAATTTTATTTTGTCTTTTTACCTTAGTGGCCAGGCTCCTCCCTTGAGATTTTCCAACCATCAGATTCTACCCAAAGAACACTCTAACTTCCCAATGCCTACCCAGCCCTACCCCACATAGTAAAAAGCCCAAACTCTAGACTTGGGAAATCCCCACCCTGTAAATCTCCACCCTGGAAAGCTTCCCTGTCACCGCCCATCACTAAGGTCATCATTTAAGATCATAAACCCTGTCTGAGCTCAGTGCTCTGCTGCTTTTCACCCAGGCAGGAGCCCTCCTGGGTGTCCCCCCCCCCCCAGTACCTCTTTTTCATGAGGTGTGCTGTGCTGTGTGACTGTGGGATTCCTTGTCCCAAGCACCCGAATATCTTTCTCCTTAGAGCTGTAGCGTAATGCTCATACCCTGTCCTCTACTTATTTTAGTTTCTTTCAGGTACAGGGAAAATTAATAATAGAATATCTGGTTTTGTTGTTACTATCGGGGGAATGTTTATGCCACTTCCCAAGTCATTTTTTAAGAGTTTTGACTGGTTGTTATTGAGTAGCAGGTGTTTGTAACTCTTGTTGTTTCAAACCTTTTACTTAGTTCTTTTTTTACTTAGTTCTTACTTTAAAATATTTCTGTATGTATTTCATTAGTGTTTTCTTTTATCCATGACAGGTACACATTTCAGAGACCCTTAGTAGGTGTGTGCTGAACTCTACACACACTGTGCTTTTTGACATAAGCACTTCTGGCCATCATTAAGTTAAGCGAGGGCTCTCGGAACACAGATGTTACAATAACACAACAACCAGTAAACAAGCGGGTGAAAAGCACAGTGTAGCTTACGCTAGGCAGACAGATGATTCATGTCGTGCTATGGACTGAGCAAGGGACACAAGTATTCATCATGCTACAGCCCATAATTTTAAACCTATAAATTGATTACTTCTGTAATTTCACATTTATTATCCTTAGACTGTGGTTGACTGCAGGTTGCTGAAACTGCGGAAAGTAAAACAACAGAAAACAGCCTCTTTCACTCAAGGGGAGACTACTACTTATAATAAAATTTTGTAATTAAAATCACAAGCACAACTTGTATTAACTAACGTGAGTAGGTTTGGATAAAAATACAAATCAGGCTGGAGAAATGGCTCAGCAGTTAAGAGCATTGGCTTAACTCTCCGTCTCTTTCTGTCTCCCTTGTGGATAGAATGTGCTCTTTAGAGGGCCTCACTTCAATTCCTTGCATCCACATGGTGGCTAACAATCATCTGTCAAGTAACTATCTGTAGCTCCAGTTCCAGGAGATCCAGCACTCTGTTCCAGCGGCTTGGATACCAGGCACACAAGTTGGCATACATATATTCAGCCCAAAACACACCTATAGATTTTTTAAAAGATACAAATCAAAAAACAAATAATACATATGGTAAAAAAAGAAAAATGCACAGACACACCTAAGAGCAGCCTGTCATCTGCCAAAATGCAGATGATTATTTGCCAAAGTTCAGCATTTTATGGTTCTTTGTTTCACAAAAAGCATCGGGTAGTGTATTTATGTAGCACGTAAGTACTAATGCCTTTTTTTGGTCATCTCTGAAATGTCTATATTTAAAAGTGCACCATATAATGAACTAGTTTGGCACATGTGTTTACATAAAGACCAGCTTGCTTTTAGTAAGGTAATGAATTGATTTAGCTATAATAAGCCAGATAATCTACCTGTATTACTTTTATTTAATGTTTTTAAGGAAGCTCATGGGAATCGTTTGGCTGAAGAGCTAGCAGCTTCTCAAGTACGTGAAGCACATTTAGAAGCAAGAATGCAAGCAGAAATAAAGAAATTATCCTCAGAAGTAGAATCTCTCAAGGAAGCTTATCACATGGAGGTAAAGAAAAATTAAATTTGGTCAATAGCTCCCACTAAAATGAACTTACTTACTGAGATGAAAGTATGAATCTAGACGTGTTTGTTGTAAAACTGTACATTATAATGTTCATTTTAAGCTGACTTCAGAGCTTACCCTTAATATCCCTGAACTTAAAAGGCTAATGTGTTCTGGAGTTAAGAGGGCTAGTTCCTGAGGCAGGCATCCTGAATCCAAATCCTGTTTCATAACTGTATAACCTTGGATAAGTTATTTAAACTCTCCAAGATGTATGTAATGATAAGAGCTATCTCACAGAACTATCATAAAGAATCAATTAGTCATTATATGTGATATTCTTAAATCAGAGCCTGACTCATCATCATTAATTGTAGAACTTGTGAAAAACAAATTGGAAATACTTCCTGTAGACATAAACAGTTTATGTGATGTGAGAACACAGTACATTACTTTGTAATTTCTAACATCTGCTCTGATAGTTAGGAGAGGAATATGAGAAGCATATTGTCAATATATTTTGAACCTTTATGAAAATGAACAGTGTTATTAGGGTTTTTTTTCATTCTTTTAAAATATTTGAAAGTATTCCCTAAAATCTTTGTATATGTTCTAAAAATACTAATTGAGTTTGGTGCTAAGAGAGCATCTTTTCCTGTAAAACAAAGGCTACAAATGTATTTTTATTGACTTTTTTCCTTGAAACAGTGTCTCACTATGTAGCTCTGGCTATCCTGTATAGACCAGGTAGACCTCACTCACTGAGATCCTCCTGCCTCTGCCTCCTGAGTGCTAGGATTAAAGATGTGTGCCACCATGCCTAACTTTGTATTTTGTGAGGCACTGGGGAGTGGGAACTTGTAACTATGTTTTATGTTTAGATTCAGATCTCTTTAAAAACGTAGTGCCTGCAAAATGAAACACATTTTCAAGCTGTATCCACTTCTCATACTTTTTGTAACTCTTTCTCTTCAGAGGCAACTATTAATTCATCTCAGGTATTTACCATTAACTGTTTATATTTTCTAATCTGTAGTTAGTCATGTTAAGCCATTAATTTTTAAATTACCTAAAATCAATTATGAACAGATAGTTTCTAACTTTTGAATGGCTCAGCTTGAAATGCTGCTCTTGTGGAGGATCCAGGTTCATTTCCCAGCACCCACATAGCAGCTCACCATTGACTACTAACTCTGTTTCCAAGGGGATCTCCAATGACCTCATTGGGCACTAGGCATACATGCAGCAAAATGCTCATTCACATAAAATTAAAAAATAAAATAACCTTTAGGGTTGGAGAGATGACTCATCAATTAAGAACATAATTGCAAGCTAGGTATAGTGGAGCACACCTTTAATCCCAGTACTTTAATCCCAGAGGTAGAGGCAGGCAGATCTTTGTGAGTTCGAGGCCAGCCTGATCTACAAAGCAAATCCAGGACAGCTAAGGCTACAAAGAGATGCCCTGTCTCAAAAACAAACAAACAAACAAACAAACAAACAGAACAAGAAAAGAACATACTTGTCTTCCAGATAACCCAGGTTTAATTCCCAGCATCTCTATCAGTAGTTGACAGTTGCCTGTAACTCCAGCTCCAGCATGTCTGTGCCTCTGGCTTTTGCAGACTTTTGCTACCTTATTTACACAGACTGACACTGGCACACACACAGTTGAAAATTTAAAGAATATATACTTTTAAAAAGAAGTTTTAGTGTTTTCAGTAGGAGATAATATTTTTAAGTATGACAAAAATATGACTTACATAAAATATTTTCCTTTTAATTGTTTTTTTTTAAAGATTTATTTATTACATATACATTGTTCTATCAGCATGTGAGTCAGCAGGCCAGAAGAGGGTGCCAGATCTCACTATAGATGGTTATGAGCCACCATGTGGCTGCTGAGAATTGAACTCAGAACCTTTGGAAGAACAACCACTGCTCTTAACCTCTGAACCGTCTCTCCAGTCCCTCCTTTTAATTGTTAACAAAGATATATTTTTAAAGTACCTGTGTTGTTTCTGTATACAATGAGACGGAGCCAGGCACATATATGCATTTCTATAATCACAGCATTTGAGAGAAACAGAAGTTCAAGATCATCATTAGCTTACATAGCAAGGCCTTGAGGCCAGCTTGGGCTACATGAAACCATGTCTCAAAAAACTCTAAAAATAAGTCAAATAAATAAAACGAGAAGATACGGTATTACAGGGCTAGTTCTAAAAGGAATTGCCAGTTTTTATTTTAATTTGATGTATTTGGGTGTTTTGCCTGATTGTGTGCCACATGTGTGCAGAAGATGTTGGATGTCCTTTCCCCAGCTTGGTCTATAGATGAGTACAGATCAGCCAGGGTTTCACAGAGAAACCCTATCAAATAAAACAAAACAAAAAAAAACAAGGTGGGGGAGGCCCCATGGGCCCATATATATTAGGAGGTGTGGCATTGTTTGAGGAAGTGTGTCACTGGGGGTGAACTTTGAGGTCTCACATGCTCAAGCCTGGCCACTGTGTCACAGTCTCTTCCTGCTCCTTTCGGATCAAAATATATAGCAAAGGAAATACTACTCTATTGCTAGTGGGAGTGCAAACTTGGGAGTGGACACTTGGAAATCAGTGTGGCAGTTTCTCAGAAAACTGAGAATCAACCTACTTCAAGACACACCTATCCACGTCCTGAGCATATACCCGAAGGACACTCCACCTACCACAAGGAAACTTGCTCAGCTATGTTCGTAGCAACTTTATTCAAAATAGCCAGAAACTAGGAACAACTTAGATGTCCCTAAAGCATTGTGTAATGTCCCTCAAATATTGCGTAATATGGTACATTTACACAATAGAGTATTACACAGTTGAAAAAATAATGACATCATCAAATTTGCAGGCAGATGAATGGAATTAGGAAATACGATCCTGAGTGAGGTAACCCAGACCCAGAAAGGCACATATGATATGTACTCACTTATATATGGGTACTAGCTGTTAGATACAGAGTAACCACGCTACAGTCCACTGATCCAGAGAGACTAAGTAACAAGCAGGGCTCTGGGGGATGCCTGGATCTCCCTGGGAATGGGAAATAGAGTAGATTTCGAGGATGGGCATAGGAACAGGAGAGATCAGGTGAGGCATGGGGGAGCAGTGAGGGAGAGAGTACTGGGAGCGATAACTGGAATTGGGGGTGTTTCGGGGGTCAAATAAAAACCTGGTGCAAAGGGTGACCCTAGAGCAGACTCCTAGTAATGAGGAATACAGAGCCTGAACAAGCCGTATTCTGTAACGAGGCAAGGCTTCCAGCAGTGGGACTGGAACACCAATCCAGCCTCAAAACCTTCAACCTACAATTTGTCCTGCCTGCAGATGTGCTGAGGTAAAGGTGGTGCAAAACTTGTGGGGTGGTGACTGGTCTAACTTAAGACTCACGTCATCGCATAAGAGGGAGCCCGTGCCTGACACTGCTTAGAGAGCCAAGACCCAGAATCTGAAAAGCCCAGAGACCCAGGATAGAGTTTAACACTACTGGGGGCCAGGGGGAATCAATGAAATGATTCCTGGTGGTATTCTGCTGTGCATCTAGTAACTGATGAGAGCAGATGCAGAGACCCACAGCTGAGCATTAGGTAGAGCTTGGTGAGTCCTGAGGAAGAGGTAGAAGAAGGATTTTAGAAGCCAGGGAAGTCAAGGACAGCGCAAGATCACGGCCCACAGCATCAACTCAGCAGGGCTCATAGGGCTTCGGAAAGAAGCAACAGTCAGGGAGCCTGCCTGGGTCTGAGCTGGCTCCTCTGCACATATGGTATGCTTGTCGGACACCTAACAGTGACAGGGGGCCTGTCTCTGACCCTTTTACCTGCTTTGGGGAACTTTTCCTTCTACTGGGTTGCCTGGTCTTAGCCTTGATATGAGGGTATTTGCCTAGTCTCATTGTAACTTGATCTGCCATGTTTGGTTGATATCCTTGGGAGGCCTGCCCTTTTCTGAAGGGAAAGGGAGCAGGAATGGATCTGGAGGAGAAGGGAAGTCAGGGGTGGAGGGGGGAGGACTGGCAGGGGAGGAGGGTGGGAGGACTGTGTTTGGGATGTAATATATGAGAAAAGAATAAAGAAAAATAATCCCAGCACTTAGAGAGGCAGAGGCAGGTGGATTGTTGTGAGTTCGAGGCCACCCTGGCCTACAGAGTGAGTCCAAGATGCCAAGGCTACACAGAGAAATTCTGTCTCGAAAAAACAAAACAAAACAAAAGATGTGGAACTCCTAGCTCCTTGTCTGCCTGTACACTGCCATAGTTCCCACCATGATAATGGACCAAACCCTAACTGTAAGCCAGCCCCATTGAAGTGTTTTTCTTGATAAAACTTGCCGTGGTCATGGTGTCTCTTCATAGCAATAAAGTACTAAAACACCCTGAAACTCTACTGGGAATGAACCTCTATCATCTAGAAGAGCAGCTAGTCCTCTTAACTACTGAGCCATCTCTTCAGCTTCAGGGATTACTAATTTTAACAATGTTTTTTTCCTTTCTTTAGAAAAATTAGGTTTTGCATTTGTCAGAAAAACCATTTAATAATTGCACAATTATTTTGAAGTGAGAATGAGTTTGTTAGGTTATATTAAGTACTTGTTACAGAAAAATTTAAACATTAAAATGATGGTATATAGATAGAGTAAATCTCCATTTATTTCTCAATTTAAATAATTGTGACAAATAACTTGTGACAAATTATGTGTTTTTTTAATTTAAAAGGAGTACTTTCAGGTATGAAAAAGAATGTTGGTAGTAATTATATCAGGAAACTAGATATAAAAACCAGGTAATTCTAGGCATAGTATGGTCAGCATATTTCTAACCTCACTCACTTTCCTACCGTCTTCCACAGAACATACAGTTTTGATATAAAGTCCAAAATTATCAACAGTTTATTAATTGAACCATTAGTTATTTCTAATTGAAGTGCTATTTGAAACTTTTTAATAAACTGCAGTAGCATTTTCACATCAAAAAATTGAGAACATATTGTTTTCTTGTATTAAATGCTCTTTATTTGATATTATATATAAACCACACTAAAATGATTTCAGTGCATAGGGAATTCTAATTGAATTGGCATTGTCAAGAACAGACAGTTTCTGCTGTCAGTGGTGACTCACACCTTTCTTTAATGCCAGCACTCGGGGAGGCAGAGGCAGCTGTATCTCTGTGAGCTTGAGGCCAGCCTGGTCTACAAATCCAGCCTAGGACAGCCAGGACTCTGTTACATAGACAAACACTGTCTTGAAAAACAAAACAAACAATAACAAAAAAGAATGAACAGTTGCTTCCTGTTGTGTAACCAGATTGCCTGTAACAGAGGCGAGCAAATACAAGTGTGTCTTCTGCTTTGTTCTGAGACAGTAAAGGGATGTTTCCACAGAGCTTACCTATATTTATAGAACCAGTTACATAAAGTTAAGCATAATATAAATTAAATATAGGCTTTGAGGTGACATTCCCATCTCTGTGGAAAGTTGAGCATCATTAACTAAGTCCAGTCCTATCTTGAGAAGGAGAAAGCAGTGACCGTGATGTGTAATGAGGTTTAAAAGGACTAGTTATTAGGTAGTGATTGACGTAAAGCACTGCGTATACTCCCTGTTTGCCAAGGGTGCTGTCACCTGCCACCTGGAACGTAATCATCAGGGGTAGTTGAAAGTGAAGCATCGCCTTAACAGCTTGCTCACTAGGGTGTACACTTTTGTAAAATCCTGCTGCCGGCCTGCCCCACCTTGTGGTTGTAGAGGATAAAATGAGAATGCTAACTGGATTCAGCTCCAAGGCCTTTGGGGAGTTCACCTCTCTTTGGTCCACCAGTGGCATCTCCTCTCTTCTCTCATTGGTGTCAGTGTGCTTATTCCAAAATGATTCCTGCAACAGCAGTATTTATTGAGCTGAAATAGTTTTTTTTTTTTAAATAAAGATCATATCCACTTTACTATAAGCCAATTTTACTTAAATCAGGACTGTCCAACAAAAATGTTCTGTTAGCTCTTCGTGATTTTAATTCTGATAAATGAATTAAATTATGGTACACATTAAAAGCCATGAAACCTTTGTTTTGTAATAAGTAGGGCAGTGGCAATTACTCCTTAGAAGCCTTTTTAAGATGAGCTATTCAACCTGCCCATTCTCTCTGTTTTAATAGGATTACTACTGATGTGATGAAACACCTTGACTAAAGGAAGTCAGGACAGGAGCTCAAGCAGGGCAGGAACCTGGTGGCAGGAGCTGACACAGAGGCCATGGAGGGTGCTGCTCATTGGCTTGTTCCCCATGGCTTACTTAGCTGCTTTCTTATAGAACCAGGACTTCCAGTCCAGGGATGGCTCCACCCACAATGGGCTGGGCCCTACCACATCAATCACTAATTAAGAAAGTTCCCTACAGTCTTATGGAGACATTTTCTTAATTGAGAAATTAAGAAATTTCACTCCCTCCTTTCCAATGATTCTAGCTTATATCAAGTTGACTTAAAACTAGCTAGCATAATCCCCTTTTAATTCAGGAGAAAATAATTTTTGTTGCAAAGATGTACTTTTGGGGATTCTCCAGACATTCTATCAGTTGTATTCTCTCCCCAGGTGATTCCTTGTTCCTGTTGGCATAAGATGGCCTGACCCATATTCTGCCCAAGCAGATCATAAAGATTTGGTCCAGTCTTATTCTTGCCTCGTTTTTTTGCACAGTGTAGCCCTGGGCACTCTTCTGAACAAAAATCATCTTGCTGTTCTCAACATCATTTTTTCTGGGGGTAGGGGAGGAATCTCAACATTATGCACCCCCACCGCTGTCACGTGCCAGTCTTCCCATGTTTGCCCCACCACCTCATGACTTCCCCCCCAAAAAAGGGGGGGGGAATAAGTCCGTTTTGTATTGTCCATACTTACTGGAGCATGGTCGAATTCCTAGTGGCCAGCTCCCAAAGGATGATGAGTCTTTCTCCACCTGCATCCATGCCAGAAGCAATAGACTGAGGAGAACCATGCAGTAGCTGGAGAAGGGTGGGACAGATCTCCTGCATTCACGCCACTGCCTGCCTCAGCATGCTGTGGGCTGGTGAGGGGCAGGGACAGCTCTGTAGTACCCACATGGCTGCATGGACTTCGGTGGTAACACAGGCAGCAGACATACCAAGACCATCAACTCACTAATAGCCCTCAGCAGTGACATAGACCATGGGCCTCAGCATGGCCTGATTACACATAACACTTACATCATATGCCCTATCCCCTAGCCAGCAAAGCCTGGGAATGTCACTAAGGCATCAAGTAGCAGCACAGACTGCATACTCCAACATGGATCTCAGGCCTCATGGCAGATTGGGACAGCAGCATGGACCACGAACACCAACATGGCCTCCAGGGGCATCATGGACCATGGTAGTCCTAAGTCAAATCCAAACCTTTCCTCATCTATTGCCCAGAGCCAGGGGGAACCCACAGCTTGGGGGCAGGTTTGGGGGCTGAGTCTGCATCTGACTGTATACACTATCCCTTGGACCCTACTGAGCAATGACAGCATGTCACCCTTAGCCCCTTGCCTGTCAAATGTCACCATCTCCAGTAGTGCACACACAGCTCTGTTTTTACGTCTTTCCCAACTCTCTGTGTTTGTTCACTGTAGTGATGCCTGCCACCCTGGGAGGCTCAACATTATCCACTTTTAATTTGCTACCTGCGGCCCGACACCACCAACATTATGGCCTGAAGATAGAGATGTCTGACCCTTGCTATTTTTTTATTTTATTTCTTCCTTTTCTTTTCTTTTGGTTTGTAGTTTGTTTGTTTTTTGTTTCAGTTTTTGTTTCTTTGTTTGCTGTTTTGTTTTTGTTTTTTTTGTTTGTTTGTTTTTGTTTTAGTTTGGTTTGGTTTTTTTGAGACAGGGTCTTTACATATAAGCCCTGGCTGTTGTAGACCAGGCTGTCCTGGAACTCATAGAGATCCACCTGCCTCTGTCCCTGGAGTGCTGGGATTAAAAAATGCACTACTGCACCCAACTCTGAGAGTATTTCCTTTATATTAAATGTACCATCATTTCTCAGATTTCTCCAGTTATCTCAAAAATTTCTTTATAGTTTATATAAATCAGAATCCAAATATGATCTATGGTTAACTATTAAGTGAATGTAAGAGTGTGTGTTCTGCAACTGGGAGCAGTGGTACACACCTGTAATCCCAGCACTCAGAGAGGCCGAAGCAGGTAGATCTCTTGAGTTCAAGGCCAGCCTGGTCTACAAAGCAAATCCAGGAAAGCCAAGGCTACACAAACCTTGTCTCAAAAAAAAAAGCGTGTGTGGTTTTTTTCCCTTGAGTATTGCATTTAGTGTAAAATCAGATATTTTTAGCTATAAATTTGATCTCCTTTAAGGAAAAATAGTAATAGTGTTAGAATTTTTGTTGAAAATAACTCCATCCTGTTTTCTTTTTACAATTTTGGGATTATAAAGATGGTTTCACATCAAGAGAACCATGCAAAGTGGAAGGTTTCTGCTGACTCTCAAAAGACTTCTGTTCAACAACTAAATGAACAACTAGAGAAAGCAAAACTAGAATTAGAAGAAGCTCAGGACACTGTAAGCAATTTGCATCAACAAGTTCAAGACAGGAATGAAGTCATTGAAGCTGCAAATGAAGCATTACTTATTAAAGTAAGTAAGCTTATAAAAGGTAACGAAATACGTTTGTGAAAAGTCACTTCTTTTTCCTTTTCTCATTTATAGAGGTCTTCATGACAAATTGTTGCTCTCAACCTCTGAGCCATCTCTCCAGCCCGAATTATCTATTCCTAATGAGCAATAACAAATCAAACTTTCTGCAAATAGGATTCAAGGAGGTACCCAGCTTCAGCCACAAGGCCCTGGCTGTGGAGTCATAAAGAATACAGAAGTAAAGGGGTCATGGGTCTTCCTCCATGCTTTAAGGAAAGCCTTGGAGGCCAGGCATGTGGCACAAGAGTCCTCTCATGGAGGCCAGGAAAGGCCATTGCCTAAAGCTTTGAAAGTGAGGCCTCGATTGTGTTGGAGATGCTAGAGCACCATGGGATACTGCCAGGAAGAGCTGTTGACAGGGAGTGGAACTAACCCAAGACAGGGAAGTATGTTGGAGTCAGCAGAGTCTAAGAATGAAGCCACCTAAGCCTTTTGACAGGATATGGAGTTTGCCCTGTTGGATTTTGGTCTTCCTTTGGTCCAGTATTTCTTCATGCCCTCATTTTTTCCTTTTGGAATGGTAATATATATTCTAACATTCATTGAATGTTAGAAGTATAATTTGGTTTTTCATTTTATAGGGAGTGCAGTTAAAAGATTGCCTTTAGTTTCAGAAGAGATTTTTGACTTGAACAGTGTTGAGACTGAAAGACTGTGGGAACTTCTGAAGTTGGACTTTTGCATTGTGATATGGCTACAAGTTTTTGGGGACCAGGAAATGGAATGCAGTGGTTTGAATGAGAATGGCCCACATAGGTTCATAAGTTTGAATACTTGGTTCCTAGTTGGTAAACTGTTTGGGAAGGATTAAGAGATATGACCATTTTGGAGGAAATATGTCAGTAGGGTTGGGCTCTGAGGTTTCAAAAGTCTATACCATTCCCAAGTAGCTCTCTTTCTTTTTTCAAGACAGGGTTTATCTGTGTAGCCTTGGTTGTCCTGGACTCACTTTGTAGACCAGGCTGGCCTCAAACTCACAGAGATCCGCCTGTGTCTTCCTCCCTGAGTGCTGGGATTATAGGCGAGCGCCATGGCACTGTTGTTGTTGTTGTTGTTTTTATCGTGTTCCCAGGCTAGGAGTATTCTATAAGGAAAATCCAGTTTTGATGAAATTCATTGGCATATTGGAAGTAGTTTTCAAATGAAAATATTTAATTGTCTCAAAATACAGCTGTCTGTAGTAGAGGTTTGAACAACACGTGTAAAAAAACTGTTATTTTAAAAGTTCCCATACTGAGACAAAGGCTAGTGAAGATGACTTCTATGACTTTATAAATAGTTTTTAAACAGAAATATATTGAACATGCATTATGTACCAATTTTTCTACAGGAATCAGAATTAACCAGATTGCAAGCCAAAATTTCTGGACACGAAAAGCCAGGAGACACCAAGTTTCTACCATCTTCATTTACAGCTCTAACAGAAATGATGCCTGATATTCAGGATCCTAAGTTTGGCAAACATTCTCAGATATCCTTTTTCAAGTGCAGAAAACTACGTCGCTCTATTAGTGCCAGCGACCTAAGTCTAAAAAGTCGTGGTAATGAAGATCTCTCTGAAGAACTGCTGCAGGACTTAAAGAAAATGCAGTTAGAACAGCCGTTGGCATTAGAAGGTAGTCATAAAGCCCTGGGTTTCGCCCATTCAGACTCATTCAAACCTGTTCCATATGCCCTGGAAGACGATAGGTCTGACAGTAATGACTTCAGTACTCTCAGCGGAATGCTAAGATACATAAACAAAGAAGTGAGGCTGTTGAAGAAGTCTTCTCTGCAAACAGTTGCTGGTCTAACTCAGGTATGTATTTCATACATCACCAGGTAAAATAATTTATATCAGGCCTGTTGTTGCATAGTTGCAATCCCAGCGCTGAGGAGACAGAAGCAGAAGGATTGTGAGTTGGAGATCCAATAATAGTAGTAGTAGTAGTAGTAGTAGTAGTAGTAGTAGTAGTAGTAGTAGTAGTA